TTTACTCAGAAAACTAATTCATGTGTTGTTCTTACAAACTATCAGTTTAGCTTCAGCTTTTTAATATTTTCATGAACACAGTAATTATGTGGTTATGATAGGCAATATCTGGCAGTAGCTGGATACAGGCTGCTTCTTGTCGACAGATGTCGATAATACTTTGAAACATCAGAATGCAGTGTGGTTTTCAGGCCTGATCCTATAAGTCGGTGGCTTCAGCACCATCATATCATGTTTCATTGGCCGTCTAAACAATACAGAACATGTCGGCAGTGCAGCAGAAGTCCTGGTCATGGACAGACACACTGTAGAAGCACCATAGGTATCTCTTTAATGGTGCAGAACCAGATACTGAGGAGTAGAGCTCAGGTAACTCAGAATGCAGAGGAATTTCTTTTAGCAAATGCAGAACTGCTTTGGTATGCCACTATCTGCAACGTAAGATATTTTAGCAGGATAAAAATGATGTGCAACATGTTGATTCAGATTTGCCCCAATACAAAATGTTATGTGAAGGATGTAGATATTATTACTATTATTGTGGTGGTGGTGGTGATTAGTAGATTGTGAGACCTTCTTCTTCCATTGCACAACATACTTCAGGATTGGGTTGAAAAATATCCTGAAACTATGTAGTGCAAAGGTGAGTCTGTGAGGGGGCAAGTGGGAACTGTCAATATATGTACATCTGCCTCCTATAGGATTTACCACCAAACCATGCTATACAAACTGGGCATCCACCTTTATGCATACAGAGGGAGAACACAGTTTGTGTTAGCACATAGCCATGCAAGGGAAGTTTGCGTGGTGTACACTCTTCCTTGTTGCTCAGAGGACTCTTATCCTTGTAATGCGGTCAGCTCCAACAATGGTGGAGGAACATTGAGGATGAGTGAAGCTGGAGAGAGATCAGGACCTACATTTCTGATTTTAGTGCATAATTACCCAAACAGGTAACTTTTCTGGTCTTTTGCTGAATATCTGGCTGTAAACCACTGACCTTCAAGGATTTTTTCCCCCTCTGTGTGAGCATCACGAGTTCATGTTAAAAGTCCTAAGGACACCACTTTTTTTTTTAAGCTCCAGTTACTTATAAGTAGCACAGATCAACTACTTTTATGTTTTACAGGGGTATATAAAAGCCAAGAAGCCCGTTTAATGCTCCATATATATCTCATTAAAGCACCATCCCATACTTCGCTGAACAAACTGAAGGAGGAAAAATGGGCAATGGATGGTTTTGTGAGTATAGTTTCAGCAAAATACAATACTGTCTTAATAGCAAATGATGGCTTGTGCACGAGGCCTGAAAAATATAGGTGTTATACAATGAAAGATAATTAGCAGTGTTGAAGAATGGGATCATGTGGCTACTGATGGGGCACCGACAAATGTTGGTACTACCATATAGTGACATTCTAAAGAGTCTTGGGAAATGCCACTGACTGATTGCAAAGGTAAAAATAATCTTTAATAGTACCACTTTAAAAAAAATAACAGCAATTTTCGGCATACAGTACAAGCAGCCTCTTCACTGTTACCTTCCAAAATACTTTTTATTTTCACTTTATTGGAACAGCATGTGATACTTTCATGCCACATAATATGTTGAAAGTTACAGTGGCTTGCATTTTTATGCCACACAATACAAGCTGCTCTCTTTATAACATTCCAATCGATTTAGTCAGTTTTTGTTTTGCCGCCTAAAGGCCTGGGCCTACTGCCTGGCACTCTCCTGACCAATGGCAGAGGACTAACCCCACCATTAGGCTGCACTGTGCCATGCAGTTCATGATGTTGCACCGGAGCCAGGAGCCCAAAGCAGCCGTGGTGATGGAAGATACCAAGAGTCTCTGAGGCACTACAGTGGTACTTCCTACAAAGTCCTGCATTGTAAAGCCATATGAGGAGAGAAGGGATATCGCCACAGATGCTCTTTCAGGCTCACTGGGAATGATATATGCCAGACCCTTCCTATTTAAGCAGTCCACATTAGGCATTAAGCTGGTGGTATGTCCCCCACCCCACCCCCCGGCAAGGAGAGGTTGCCATAGCATCTGTTAGGTGAACAAGCTGTTGCTGACCCAGGGGCCATTGTGGAATGAAATGAGGCAGTACGGACAAGATCCGTGTCCATTATAATGTAAATAGCAAATGTGTTGATTGCTTAACTGGTTGAAAACTGCCCCAAAAAATATCTACTCAGTTTTTGATGTTTGTTTCAACCATACAGCTTCCCCATACTTTCAGCTGGTTCCACACATTGTTATACCAGAAGAAAAAGCTTCTTAAGGCAGCTTGCGGGTAACTTAAGAACTCCCATGTACAAGTCCTAACTAGCAGTTGCTCAGTCATTGATATATACTAGACGTGCTGAGAAGATGAAGAAAGCCCCTCCTGGTGCTCACCGGGTGGGGGGGGGAACCTTGTTTGAACTCTCTCAGTTACACATGAGTGAAGCTCCTGATTGGACCACCTCAGTGCTCCCTGGCCAACTTTGTTGCAAGCACAGCACCTTGGTGATCTGCTCCGCACATGTTCAGTGACCTCTTGGTCATTGCGACTTGCAGCTACTTCTTCTCATTTCAAGGGCTAAACCATTTTATTTGCCGGAGAAGAGGCAGCATTCATGGGGTCATGATTTTTTGGGGTTATTAAATGAACTGATCTGTATACAGCCTGGATTCACTTGCCATTTGGCCAATATGTGTGCTTGGACAGCCAGAGGTAGCTTTTAAATGACCAACATCAGATCAGAAAACATTGCCTGCTTTTTGCATCTCTGCAGTGAGTGGCACCTGTCTGAGAAGTGAGTTATCAAAAGAACCAATTGCAAGATTAGCTGAATTCATGAGCAGACACTAAATAGAAAGTCTCAACTTTAAAATCTTAAACTGATTTTTTTTAAAATAAAAAAAAAATCACAATATGTCCTTTTAAAAATTGTAGGAGGCAGCAGATGGGTGAGGGTGAGAGAAGATGTAATCATATGCGAAATCATATAAGACACATCCAAATTCATTCAAAGCTAATCTGAACAACTTGTTGAGCAACCATTTCCCTTCTTGTGGCACGTGAGCAGGATGTGAGCTGAACTGCTGGGTGTTCAAGCATGCCTAAATATTTATAGCCCACCACATCCTGGAGATTCAGGGTGGACAACAGAATCCCAAACCCCAGCCAAACAGAGTAAATTTTATCCAAATTAAAAATTCTTTGGGATTTGATTTATTCATCTTTTTTCTAATTTAACCTTTAGCTCACAAAAGATAGCATGTGTAACAACACTACTGAAAGTTGCTCTGGGTTGGGCTCCAGTGAGTCTGCACTGGAAGGAAATTCTGTAATCTGGGAGCCGGAACGGAGAGGGCCCATCTATTCCAGCATTTACCATTTCCTGTAGTCTTTCAAATGTCCATGTTGTGGCAAAAGTAAAAGAATTGTTTTGTCAAAAGGCCGAAGATTGCCCCATTGTATGCCTTATCACATTCTTAAGCTTTGTTCAGGAAGTACTCAAGCGGTCATCTCAGTTGTATAGAATTAAATGTCTGGGTCCTTGACTCCTGGTATCCATACTGTCATACTGTATCTGCTAGTACAAACCATGGGCAAGTTTTGTATGTGGCTGTTTGGTAAGATTAGCTGTTATTGGCCATGCATGGGATAGGAGTGGGGCTTGTGAAGTTTCTGCTATGCCACAGGCTTCCTGCTAACAGAAAGATGCCCCATGCTCCAGCTTCTAATGCTTCAGCCCCCCCCAAAAAAAGTACAGGACAATCCCATGCCGCTACATGATTAGTCATGTGAAACTGGTAATATTCACAGTTCCTTAAAGATGTTTTATTCATTGTCAGCTAAGTTACAGTTCAGTAGTACCTTAAAGACCAACAAGATATTCGAGGTATGAGCTTTTGAGAGTTTTGATTCTCAAAGAGAGTTTTGATTCTCAAAAACTCAAAACCCGAAAATCTGGTTCTACTGTAAACCAACACAACTATCATCTGAAACTTTATTGATTGTCAGGTGGCTTTGATAATTGAGTCGTACTCATGTCAGTGGTATATGGAACGCTTTAACAACTCACCCAGGTTGCATGAAAACACAAATGTAGAGGTGTCGCTGTAGATTTTTCATTTCCAGCAAGGGTTTTTTGTTTTTTTTTATGTTGTCAGCAGTTGCTGAACTGATGCACTTTCATCATTCAGTCATAATGTGATCACAGGAAGTCAGTCCGGATCTGTTTCGGGAGCTAGAACATAGTGCAAATTATTTCCTGGGTGGCAGCTGCTGACTGATAAAGAGTCACATGACTTAATTCAGCTTGTCCATATTCTTGCACACATTTATACATTCTTGAATTCCATTGAGTGAAATGGAGCTAGAGTACAGCCCATGAAAGATCATCATTTTACAAAAGGAATCAAAAGCAGTTTCAGATAACACACCTCTCAGTTTCTTAACTTGGTTTCAAAGTCACATATGATTTATTTTCTAAAGTGTTCTCAAGAACTCCTTGTGGCAAATGTGCAAGGCAGCCACACGGGGGGGGGGGAAAGATTTCTTTTGAATCTTTAGTGATAATCATCTTAGATATTAATAAAAATAAATACAGTTGCAGCAATTCAAGCACAAAGGCATGTAATGGCCCACATGTCCTCTTAGCCCAACTACCTCCTGTTCCGAAAATACGTTTCCATGAAAAATAAAATTGCAAGTAGCTGAATGATTTAAGTGCCTCACTCCAACCTGAATATAATCAGCTGGCACATTTTGACCAATATATGTATATCCAATTTAACACTGTTATTTTCTGTCTATGTAGGTTTCGGCTGAACCTGATGGTGCTACCTATGTTTTTCAAGGATTTATCCAGGGTAAAGATTATGGGCAGTTTGGACTACAAAGATTAGGTAACTAGTAAACATTAATATTGTAATATTTAGTTGTGCTTCATTATTAAATGATTGTATCTGATGGAATACTGAAATCTTCTGTTTGGAAGATAGTAGGCAGTCTGCTAAAAACATGTACTGTTCTCACAACCATTTCAGTACACAGTTATGGAAAGAAGTTTTTCTGCTTTTCAAGATGTCTGCTTGCCCTACCACATATGGGGTTGTCTCTAGCCAGGGTTTTTTTCCCACTCAACCTAACCTAATTCTTCAGGCAATCGCCTTTTACATGGCTTCTGTCCAGACAGGTAACATAATCCACAACATAGCTTTTTGGGTGGTCAAGGAGGACCCCCTCCTCCCTTTTTCATCAGGAATATCGCACATGCTGCAGCCCAATCCAAAATGACCCCTCCCCTTCAGTATCTGCTTTGAAACCTAAAAAAAAAAAACTGAATGAAATCCATTCACAAAACTCCTAGTATTGTCACTTCCAAGGGGTGGGGTGGGGAAATTCTTGTCCTGGTTGCCTCGCTCCAGTGAGTGGGGAGGAGGATGTGGGGGCCAGAGCAGCACTGGGCTGTGCAACCAGAAACAATGTCATTATATTGCCAAATGCACTACCATTCACAGAAAAATCTATGGTAATATAGAATTTCAAGTGAATGCTGGAGCTTCCAGCAGTGCAGTGATGTCACTTCCGATCACGCAGCTGGAAATAACGTCATCATTTCGTCAAATGCTGTTCCATGAGGTTCTGCTTCTGAAAGTCTCTAAGGGGGTTGCCAGTGAAGGACTGGCAAGGCTGCCTGCTTATCAGATCTAGTTTGGCCCTTAAACCTCATCCTGTTCACTTTCGCTTTGTATAGCTAGGGTTGCTAAGTTGATCTTTGAGCGCACACGCCGCACGCACGTCACCCAGAAGAGTTTTCCCTTGGATGGCCGTGGCCCTGCCCCCAGCGTGCCCAGCGTGGTTGCGTCACTTCCGGGTAACACGCACGTTGGGGTGGAGTTCCCCCTGGGGCCTGGGAACGGGCCTCTGGGGTGGGGTTTTCCCCGCCCCCCGGGGGGACTTGGGATCCCTATGTATAGCAGAACATTTATTTTCTTGAACTAGCACCAATGGCTATCTACCTTACAAATTGTTCTGTTGAGTTTTACCTGGGGGGGGGGATCTTACTTAGTTAACATTTCATGACAGATTTTGAATGCAATTAGTGTTTTACATTTCATCAGCTTTTGAAGCCAAAAAGAATATTCTAATACCCATAAATATCCCCAAGCCCCTCTTCAGTTCCATGACCCGGGTTGGCCTCAATCAATTTATGTTAAAAGTATCATGACTTAACTGGGTGATGATTCAGACAGAATTTTTATTATCACCATTTGTAAGGAGGACACCGGGGAGACTTAGATATTCATCTTTGTTGCTGTGTACCAATCTCTTTGTTCTCTCACCTTTTCCTCAAATTCCTTGCAGCTAATAAAAATATTACTGCTTTCCTCAATAAGCATATAAAAAAGAAAGAAAATGTTAGGTAGCTAAAAGAAAATATTAAGCTATAAATTACTGGAGAGCATCCCTTGAGTACTGCAGTATTTTTTCCCTGAGACAGAAGCTGGAGTATAATTAAATGTTCCTACTTTTCAGGCAGCTGAGTTCCGTTTAGACCAATGCACACTTTTACAAGAGGAATTAGTTGTTTGGGCTGCAATCCCTTTTTAAGTAGGTTGGTCGCTTTCAAATGTGATAAGTTTATGTCTAAGTGAAAATGTTCCTGTAGTTATTAGGATGAATTTCTCTTTGTTTATTGTCAGCATGAAAGTAGGAAATACCAGTTTGAGTATGCTGAGGCAATCCTTTTAGCTTTGCAAATATTAAAGAGCCAGGCTCTTGGTCCTAAGGATATTTCTGCACCAGCTCATTTTTGTTTGATCCACCACTAAACAGAACATGAGGAGATAGTACTCTCTGCCCCTTGTCATATTTTGCATCCCTTACTGTTCCTGATTAGTGCTTCACTTCCACCTTTTTTTTTTGACATAGTAGTTCCTCTTTTAAAGGGTATGCATTTTGCAAGATCGTCTTACTGCTTCCCAGTCACTGTCCTGCATGGCCACATTCATTATGAAATGTTGTTTGGTAGCGGGGGGGAAGAGACTGTGTCCCATTTTTTACCTATTTATCAGTTCATCAAAAGGTTGCCAGGCAGTGTGGGTAACCGGTGAGAGGGCTGTGGGGAGTCATGGTGCTAGCTGTGGTGCCACGTCACTTCCATTTTTTATGTGTGTGTGTGTGGGGGGAGAGAGAGAGAGAGATTTCTAGTAATGTACTAGAAATTCTATGGTTTTACCATAGAGTTTCTGAAGATTCCTAGAATGCCTATGCCATGTCTGGGTTTTTTTAAAAAACTGAAAGTGACATGATATCATAGTTGGGGTCATGGCCACCAGTGTTCCCTCTAAGCTGAGTTAGTGTGAGCTAGCTCACAGTTTTTTAGCCTCTGGTTCACACGTTTTTGTCTTAGCTCAGGAAGGATGGCTCCAGAGCAAACTAATTTATGCCGTAGCCAAATTGCTCACTCACAACTTTAATGCCGGTAGCTCACAGAGAAGAATTTTTGCTCACAAAACTCCACAGCTTAGAGGGAGAATTGATGGCCACCCTGCCCTTTTTATTCTGTTGTTTACTATTCTTTAAATAAATGTCTGCTCTGACCATCACAGGATATTTCCTCTTCTTGCAAAGACATCTCAGCTTTCATGTACACTTTCATGTACACATGTACACTTGCCCACCCCACATCAAAGCAATGGGTGTGCTGTGTACATGTGTGGGAGCATATTTGATAACCATGTAATGAAGTCCCATATATCTGCAAATGGATCTGTCTTTCTGGGTGCCTCCTGAATTGGCTTTCTCAAAAAGAGCAGGAGGAATATTGCCAGACAGCTGAGAAATAATAGAATTGACAGACTGCATTAGAGGAACCTGCAAAATTACCCAGGAGATACGTTCCTTCTAAAAGCATTATAGTGGAATACCACACCTTTGCTTTGCTTGAGAGATAGCAAGACATCAGTGCCTCTGTGACAACACCAGACACTACATTAATTTTCACCTTCATTGGAGACTTATCTGAGTGCCTAGCATTCAGCTTACTGCATAATAATAAAAAATGGGTACAGTGCCAAAAAACACCCACCCCTCTCAGAAATAAGAATGAATATTGGTACATACACACTAATAAAATCCAGCACCACAACTAGATAGATACAAAACTAGGTGAAAGGGCCAGGCTCTTGGTCCAGAAAGAATGGCAAAATATCCAAGGTTTGGGACAGATGAAAAGATGCAAACTCTTTTTATTAAGCAAGATGTGTCCAATCACCAGGACACATGGCAGAGCATCTGCTTGGCACACAGAGGCTGCGTTCAGACTGGCAGTTTGGCCTGACATCGAAATGTTTCAGGACCGTTTCACTAGCGGATTAAAGGGGCGGGTTCACACAGGCACAGCTGTCCGGCGTCCCCCAGCTGTACTCAAGCCGTCTTGTACCGCTTCCTTCCCGAGTTTTAAAAGTACCTGGTGGAAGTCGTAGCAAACCGTGCGGAGAGCGGGTTGATTCCAGTTCCCTGAGGTGTGAATGCAAGCGCTGTAAGGCAGGAACAACCAGCAGTCATTGATAATAGGCACCAGCTGTTTCCGTGGGCAGGCACTGTTGGGGCCTGCGCGATCCTGCCCTATTTGCTGCTGCGCCCATGCACATGGGCACATGCAGCCTGGCACGGAAACAGCGTCTAGCAGCCTGCGGGGTGACCCAACAGTGTGAACGCTCCCTTGCGCTTCCTCCACGGTATCCTTCCGCTTCATTCGCTGTGGTGTGAACGGGAATACCACAACCAAGCCGTTCTGGGTCTGTTCCAGGTTTTCTTTGCCACGACTCCCTAGCGCTGCAAATTGCCAGTCTGAACGCGGCCAGAAGGTCCCAGGTTCAGACTCCAGCATCTCCTGGTAAAGAAGCTGGTAGTAGGTGATATGAGCAGCCTCAGCCTGAGACCCTGGAGAACCACTGTCAGTCTGAGTAGACAACAGTAACTGTAATGTACCACATGAGACAGTATATAGAGGCAATGGTTTTAAGGGACTGGGAGGATGCAGCGGGGAAAGGGCAAAGCCAGCTGAGAATAGAAGCTAGGATGGACACTTGCTTGCTCACTCAGTTACAGCCAGTTTTGATGACCACACTTTCATATGCATTTGCACTGTTTTGTGATCGTTATGACATGTTTATGCTTAGTAGCACTTAAAATAAATCTGCTATACAAAGGAGGAAACATGTATTTCCAAAGATATAATTAAAGTGCAATCCTAAACCAAGTTCTGTCCTTCTAACCCCATTTTCAGATTGCACTATTAGAATCAAGCAGAAATGAGATGTGACATGAGGTTCTGGTGCAGACCCTAATTCCAAACAAACTATTACTCTCTGCCAGCCAAGGATAAGGAAAATCTCCCCAGTTCCATTGTTTTCCATTCCTTAATTCCTGTTTGAGTTCTAAAATTAATTATGGATTGGAGTTTATATAATCTGTGAATGTACATGATGATTTTGACAAGATTCTTTTTGTGCCGTGAAATCTGTGAAATCACATGCTCAATCACATCACGATTGCTTCTCCGCAGCATTTCACCAGTGCATGTATCTACATTGGTAATGCAGAAGGAAACACAGCAAGAGAAACATACCACAGGATTCAAAATTTGGTAAAAGAAAAGGAAACAAAAGAGAGCTCCTAATGTATTGGTGTCATTTTGGAAATAAAATCCATAATTCAGAACTCCAGAATTATGGAGAAATTGGGATGAGAAGAATTTTGAAAACATTTTTGTAATGTATCTGCCATTACCACGTGCGCGACCGTTGGGCCATGCGGTCAAGCACAAGCCCAAAGCTTCATTCCCTGAGAACAATAGCGGAGCGGATCCTAGCCCACGCCAATCAGAGGGCCAGGTCCGCGGCCGAGAGCCAACGGGACTCTCGGCCACTGTAAATAGCCTATAGGGTGACTAGGGGGTGTGTTTGGTGGTGGGTTTTCAGTGCTTATATACCGGCCTGCGAGCCGGGGTCTTTCGTCTTGTTCTTAGCTAAATAAAGTACTCTTGCTGAATTACTCCACGTTTCCGAGTACTTTTCAATTTTATTTCAGAGCACAAAAATCTATAACACCACTATGCTGATTTCCTCATCTTGCTGGGTTCTGCTTTGTAATTGACATTGTAATATTTTTAAATTTTGGAGTGAGAAGCATGACTGGAACAGAATTTTTTCGTTTGTTTTTGTCTTTCCAGGACTTAACATGTCTGAAGGTTCAAATTCTTCAAACCAACCACATGGTACAAACAGCAGTTCTGTGGCCATTGCTATTCTCGTGCCTTTTTTTGCCCTTATATTAGCAGGATTTGGGTTTTACCTTTATAAACAAAGGTAGGTGTCAAAGCAAAACTACAATATATTCGTGTTGCAGGAACCTGGAATCAGAGCTGAATATTTAGGCCAATTTATCTGTGCTGATTTCAAAGTTCACCCAAGTGAGAACCAGATGGATAAGATGGAGAGGGGAACTGATAGAGCCAGGCAGTTCTGGACCAGTAGTTATTATAGTAGTAGATCCTGGAAGGGGAAGGAATGAAAGGCAAGTAGAATTTCTGTATGAGGTTCTTCCTCCTAGGGCTTTACTCTTGGATGATCTCATTCTGTATCCACTTTATGGGTAGTATTGCTTATAAATGTCCATGCTAACACTATCATCCATATACGTGACATTACACAAACCAGCCATCAGGATTTGGGATGCTACAGATATGGCAACCCTATCTCTTGCAGACTTACTCATTGTAGTATGGAAACAGCACCATTGTGTGAAAACTATACAAGCAACCTAAGTTTGTTATGACCACCCCAAAGACAATAACCTGTATGGGCACCACCATCTTACATTCTAATTCTAATTCTAATACATCGTAATCCTAACTCCAGCATGGTGATCTCAGAAGGATTCTTAGTGGTCAAAGTTACTGTGAGGGGTTTGTGAAATGCACCTGTCTTTTAAGGTTCAGGTTAAAAAGAGAAAAAGAGGACAAAAGTTACTCCTTAGACATCTGTCTCAAAGTATGCTGATTCTAGCTAAAACTAGATAAAGATGACTTAAGGAACAATATTTTGGGCACATATCTTTGGAGTGGGAACACATCTAGGAATGTAATTACACACATCCCAGGCCATTGGAAACAGAAGCTTGAGCACATAAAAAACTAGCAGTATTTGCCATGGGTGGCTTTGGCCTATCCTCAGTATTATCACTAAACTGAATTATTTAATGCCAGTACACCCCATTATTCCATTCAAGATAAATGAAGTGTTCCTGTGAAAAAACATCCTGTCTAGTGCATACATACACTAACCTCATTTTAGAAGTGTCAGGGATGCTTGATAGGTAAGGTTATTTCCCTACTCCTTTACTTCCTTTTATATAAATTATTGTTGTAAATTACTCGCTCCGAGAAAGGAGCAAGGTTATTCAAATTTCTTGGCATCTTAGGACACTGCAATAAAAAAGGGTGGCTGCGGACTTGGCATATTGCCTATATTTTGTTTTTGACATTTACAGTATTGTGGCTCATATTTCTCGTATAATTTATCTTACATCCTGCACAGTTTACCAGGTTGTAAGTGCTTAGAAGAGTCCTGTGCCTATGAGAGGTTTTATTGTGGATAGTTGTTCCTTTGCAGTCATTGATAATTCAACCATAATTAGGCTGTGGTGATATCGCCAGCATCTCCCAGTGATTCACTCACTTGTCCTTAGTTAACTAATAGCTTTTGTACAAAACATTTAAAAGCAGTGTATGTCCCTCTGTTTTAAATTCTCTTGGTGTATTTGAGTAATCTGAGGACACATACAGAATGTAGTAAAATGTATCAACATTTTCCTACCTGCTATGAGAGGGTAGTGAATAGAGATGACCCCAATTTTCCTGAGTTTCAATTTACATTGGTAATTTGCATGTTCAATGAAGGAAAAACCTTTCCCTCGAATGGCTAAGTAAATTGCATGACAATTGAAAGTGTTTCTTTATGTTTTATCCAACAGACCAGGATGGTGGGGCACCTAGTTCAGGAGCCTATCAAATTGAATGCCTTTCTCTAATCCCCTTCAAGTCTGGAGGGTCTTTAGGGGAGAGGGTGGACTTGGTTCCTTGAAAATGTGGTGATGTTTGTTCTAAAACTACCACCTCCTAACCCCTGGAATATGGCATCTACAATATTCCACCCACATTTTTGGGTCCCCCCCATAATACCAGAATGTTCTGTAATTCAATTTCCCATTCTACAAATACACACAATGAACTGAAGCATTATTTTGGGGTACATTTTTGACTTGGGAATTTTGGTATGTAGTTCCCTACTCCATTTTCCCTTTTGTCCTCTGTTAGGTGAGGCTGTGTGGTGGTTCAGTTACCAACCTCCTGGTGAATCTGGAGTTCTAGAATTACAGCTGATTTCCATTCTACAAAGATCAGTTCCACTGGAGAAAGGGGCAGCTACAGAGGCAGAATCTAGAGCAGAGGTGTCGAATTCATTTGTTATGAGGCCGGATCTGACACAAATGTCACTTTGTCGGGCCAGGCCATGTGTGCCATAAAATGTAACACGAGGTACTGGAGATATAAACTTTATGAAGATAATTTCAGATGCCCAATGGCAATAGCAGGCATGATTGGATTAGGTGTGATATGCAGAGGGGTAGTAGCCATGGAGATATCAGCACTGGTAATGAGACAGGAAACCTAAGTGTCAATTCGGTACAGGAGGATTCAGTCCAGGAGGATGCAAATAATAAATGGAAATGTCTGAAGAAGTGAGTGAGTGACTCATGAAAGCACATACCCTAACACAAATTTTGTTAGTCTTTAAGGTGCTACTGGACTCTTGCTCTTTCTACTGCTATTAGAAACCACAACATTCAAAAACCAGTAGGGGAACATTTTAACCTTCCAGGACATTCATTTGCTGACGTAAGAGGAGCAGCTCTCTTACAAAGGAATTTCAAAGGGAGATTAGAAAGAGAGACTGCTGAATGGCAACTGATAATGAAGCTCAAGACAATGCATCCTCCTGGACGGGACTGAGACCTAGGTTTCTTCTCTCATTACCAATGCCTGCTATTGTCACGGCATCTGAAATCACTTCACTCTCCAAGATATAAGGACAGATGGACTCACATTCTATCTGAATCTGAAGAAGTGAGCAGTGACTCATGAAAGCTCATGACCTGCCACAAATTTTGTTAGTTGTTAAGGTTCCACTGGCCTCTTGCTCCCTTCCTCTAATAAAGAATTAGTTGTTCTAACAGATGGTGGGGGGGAAGATGCTACTGGACTCTTGCTCCTTTTCATTTGTAAAGAATGCCAGATGTGCAGTTAGGTTTCTTCCCCTCCCCCCATCTGTTAGAACTGGAAAGGGGGATCTCTCCAAGTGCCATGGGACTCCATCTCTCTTCTCTTTCTCTCTCTGGCTCACTCCCTCTCTCTGAAGAAGTGTGCACACACACAAAAGCTTATACCTGGAATTAAAAGTTGTTGGTCTTAAATATGCCATGGGACTCTCTCTCTCTCTCTCTCTCTCTCTCTCTCTCTCTCTCTGGGTCATTCCCTCCCCCTCCCTTCCAGAGGAGAAGGGGGAGGGGGAGGAGCCCTTAGCCAATCAAGGAAAGCCTCTGGGAAGCAGGAAATAGGAGAGCCTGGGCAAAAGCCAGCTGTGATGCAGGAAAAAGGAAGAAAGAAAAGAAAGTAGGAAGCAGCAGAGAGCTAGTTGCTCTCAAGCCAGATAGGAGCCATGCAGGGGCCGGATCCAGCCCATGGGCCATATGTTTGACACCCCTGGTCTACAGTATACCACAGAGTCTAAGAGAAATGGAAATCAAAGAGATATCACATCCCTCCTGTGCTCCCTCCTCTCCCCAAACTCTGCCTTCCCCAGGCACTGCCCACAAATCTCTACAGATTTCCCAAGCCAGAGTTGGCATCCCTAGTGCTGGTATGAGATGGTAAGTCCCTTTTTCAAGCCACTCCTGAAGCAATCAAAAAAATTTGGCTTCAGGCATGAATTAAAGAAACCTGTCTCCAACTTTTCCCATAGTTGTTGCATCCATCTGTAGCCTTTTCTAATTAAACATTTTTTTCCCTATGAGGAAGGGAGCATCATCATTCAAGGAAAATTAGATAAAGAGATGGATGGATGGATGGAATCAAGAGTGAAATGGCAGCACCCATAGATTCCCGCTTTTTGCTGTAGATGCCCCTGTTGTACACAAGCCCTGTCCACAAGTTACAGTGAATACATGTACCATCTGTGTAAACCTGTTTTTCTCATGATATATTCAACAGTTCTCATGTTATATTCAACACATGTAGAGCTCAACATGTGATTTAAGCCCCCCATTTATCCAGATATTGATCTAAGGTGTCATTGTTAAAGTTAAGGGGTGTTGGCTCTTTCTTACAAACAGATGCACACATGTGCATGCAGGATGTACATGTGTTCACTGTAACTTGTGATCACAGCTACAGATATGATACTATACTATACTATGGTACTAGTTTATGGGAAAGCACCATAATAGTTGCCTCTGGATTTTACCATTGTTTGTGTCAGTACATAATTTGCCTTTCTTTTCTTCTCCTTTCTCCCTACAGAACTGCCCCTAAAACACAGTATACAGGATGTTCTGTGCATGAAAATAACAATGGGCAAGCTGCTTTTGAAAATCCCATGTACGACACCAACGCAAAGTCCGTCGAAGGGAAGGCTGTACGGTTTGATCCCAACTTGAACACGGTTTGCACAATGGTATAATATGGTGACGGCTCGAGTTTGGTGATCTGAAAATCAAAACAACACAGTGCGCGCCTAGTTCACTGGTTTAAAAAAAAAATTATATATTAAAGCACACTTTTCAGGATTTCCTGGGTCACCTTCGCCTGAGGATGAGAGACAAGAGTGGATTTCTTTTCTTTTCTTTTTTTTCCTTTCCTTTTTTTTCATAAACTGGAAAAAAATGTACTTCATGGCTACCATGGAGTATTTTACAGAAGAAATCTGCTGCACTCCATGAGTGCTTACTCACAGTTTATTTGCTTTTTTAAAAAAGGAGATTATTCTAAAAAAAGAAAAATTAAATAAATAAAAATAAAACATATTTGCATATATTGGAGGAGCATCCATTATCAGTACTTTTGTGCTTTATAAACTGTGCTGGAGGGACTGGGTTTAAAAGAAGAAAACAAAAGATACATGGTAGAAATTAAAGAGCTATATTTACAGGAGACAGCAAGTCATTGACTTCTCTTCCAACCATCACACATTGCATCATTCCCTCAACAGTAAGAATTTGGTCCCATTCTCTCAATTATATAAAAAAGTCTCTTGTAAGGACTTTTTTTTCACCCCACCCCAGTCTGTACCTATGAATTCCTTAGATTATGCCATGACCGTTAATAGGCTCAAGCTTGCAAGTACAACCTATTATTTCCATGCCATGGTGGGATAATTAAGTGTCAGCGTCTCAGGTTCTTTTATTTCACAAATTTCATTCCCTACTCCATTTCCGCCTTCATTGTTTTCTTTATACTTACTGCTCCTGCATTCAGTTACAGGAGTAGCTCCATTATTCCCCACCCCCTTCCATTTCACATCACACTTACTGACTGCCGCCAGTCTGACAAGAGTATAAAAACAGCTGGGACATGCCCTGTTAATTAGCCCTTCTGGTTTTGTAATTATGCAGCAGTCTGCTTGGGAAAATATCCTTTTCATACTTCCTCCCTTCTCATCCCCTCACTGCCCAGTAACACCAATTTGCCACTCTTGAAAGTTCACAAAAGGGGGAGAAAGTCAGTTTACAGAAATACCAGAAACTATTTTCCAGATCTTACACCATAGTCCCTTTGGTCAGCCTCTGCTTCCGTGCTTTCCCCAGGGTACAAATGCCAGGAAAAATGCTGTCATTAAAAGGCACACCATAAATGCCTTGCAGGCACCTGGACTCATGCAGAGAGCTTTTCTGACTATCAGGTCTCCCCCTTTTTATTGAAATGGAAGGAGCACTTATGAACACAGATCTGTGCCCCCCCCATTGAAGTGAGTGGGAAAACCATGTGGATTACAGCTTCCCTTGGCTCTAATTTAGGACAGAAATCTGATGGATTATTATTATTATTATTTTAAAGCTTATTAGCAAACCCAGGAGAATGCTCTGAAGATCTGGAAGTGGTTGTTGGGTGAGAGGGCATTTAACCCTTACCTCTATCTCAAATTGCTGCAATTTGCTTTGCATGGTAGAAAACACAGGTTTGGGCACTTGTACCTGGATTTTCTACAGCAGCTTGAATCGTGGAAGCGGCCTGGAAGAACACTTCATGCAGTGATCCTTTGCTGATCTTCAAAACATCTGCTAGGGACTGCTAATTAGTTAAAAAAACACTGAAGATCCTATACATGGGTCTGTCTCATCTACTCTGCCCTTGATTTCCATCCAATTCACAGGTAGGTATGGATTTACAGCTTTAAAATTTGTAATTCTTGCAAGGAAAGGGAATCATTTGACAATTACAACATGTATCTTGTGTTAATGTGCTATGCCAGCAACTGTTTGTTTTTTTATTGGGGGGGGGGGATGAGTGTTCTGAATGCTTTGCCAGAGCAGTGTTAGGCATAGGGCTGTGGCTGCAAGTGGTTATACCAGCACAAATCTGTTTTGAAGAAAGATGTAACCCCATGCACAGCCCAGACAAACCAAACTACTTGGGATTGAAATGGAATGCTTCATGTAGACAAAGCTGCATACATTGGCATAATTGAATTGCAAGGTAAGCTGTGGATCAGTTCAAGGTTTCCTGCTTTTTTTCCTGCTGAATTTTGTGGTTTTTGTCTTGTCCAAAAAAAAATAAAAATCCTGCCTCATTGTAATTTGGGGAGGCTTTTTGTTGATGCTGATATTGTTTTGGAATACAAATTAACTCTAATTTATATCATTTGTTCCATTGCAACAATACACTGTAAATAAGGTCATGAGAAAACCAAGATATTAAGGAGAAGAAAAGAAAAAAAAACACAGTTTTTTTTCTTCAAACCCAACTTCCTTTCAAGGCTAGTTTTAGGCACTGCAGACCCATTCCGTTCACATATAATGGAATGCAATTTTTAGTTTTGATTATAGTTTCATAAATTAATTATCAAATGACAGTCTGAGTAATTTCCATGTCATAGTTCATTGTCTTCCTTTTATAGCATGAAATCATTTTGGACTCATCGTTGCTGTACATTAGCCAGTGCAAATTATCTGTTATTACATTCTTTCCCCAGACATGAATAACTCTGTGAAAATTTAAAAAAAATTATTAATGGTATAGAGAGTGCCTACCCAAAAAAAAAATAAAAAAAATCCCCCTTTCATTGTACCCAGGATTGCTGCTTGGATTTCTATGATGTTTGGTGAATTTCTTATAAACCATTTTACAGCATTTTATGTTGAGAATTCATATGGTTCTGTCCAAAATACTGTCTTCTACTAAAAGAACACTGTTTTTATATTTTATATCATCAATTTGTTATTTATTCTTGTTTATTCAAATGACTGCAATAACGATGATTCACTCATTTAAATGTTAAGGTTGTTACATTTGAGATCTTGTTTAAAATCTTGTTTCTTCTGCAACTGGCTACTCCTCTTATATTAATGCATACACTTTTGTAAAGAAGTCTATTTTTATGAGAAAAAAAAGGGATTTGTAAAAGTATGATGTAAATTTTCAGTGCAATGTAAACAAAATAAAAATGGACAATTGCTTTTGTAACACTGTGTGTTCATTACAAGAGAAGACTTAGAAGCATAGTGTAGAACCCGGCGAATAATCTAATCACTCAAGCAAATTCAATTATTTCATTTAGGGTTGCCAGTCTCCAGGTTGTACCTGGAGATCTCCTGGAATTACAACTGATCTCCAGATGCCAGAGATCAGTTCCTCTGGAGAAAATGGCTGCTTTGGTGAACTCTGTGGCATTATACCCTGCTGAAGTCCCTCCCCAAACTCCACTCCCAAAATCTCCAAGTATTTCCCAACCCTAGTTTCACATTACATTAGATAACCACACACACACACACACACACACCTCTTTCTCATATGTAGATAAATTCAAACAGTCTACCAAGATTTGGATTAATTTTGAAAACGGGAAATGAACCAGCATACAGGTGCTTTATTAACTTGACCACTTTTAAGCAGGTTAATAAAAGGGGTAGCATTATGCATGTGGACGATTTTTAATTTCCTACCTAGGGCCACATTACCTTTTAAGCAGGTTAATAAAATGAGTGGCATTATGCATGTGAATAGTTATAAATATGAACCAGTTATCCATGTGATTCACATTTATACATAATGTTATGGATATGTAAGATACAAATGCTGGATCCAGCACTACTTATAATCACAGGAATTTGTCACTGTGTTGGTTGATAACAGTAAGCTATCCATCAGTAGATCATCTGTTTAATTAAATATCTGCTACTTGGTAGAAATGAAAGAGGCCCCCCACTCACCCAGTTTAAAGAAAGCCTCCTGTAGCTCTTGCCCATCCCCTTCGGTTTTCATCGTTCTGAATATATTGATACTTGCAAACCTGTCCCCCTACACTGTTCACCCCCAATTCCTAATCATTTATGTATAAATTAAATAGTACCATTCCTAATATCAAGCCTTGTGACACTTTGCTGCTTACTTCCCTCCACTGTGAGAACTGGTCAACATATTCCCACTCTTTTCTTATTGTCATTTAACCATTTTTTTAATCCATAAAGGGCCTGTCCTCTTATCCCATGTCTGTAATGCTACTCAGGGGTATTGGTGAGGTACCTTGTCAAAATATTATACCAGAAAAAAATATTTTAAATGGCATAGGTTTATTTCTACAGACCTTTCCCACAACCCCATTTCACAGACATCCATCTTTGAATGGATTCCAAGCATTTGCATTGTACAGGCCACAGAATGGGATCTTGGCCTCCAAACGCATTAAAAGGATATTCTGAAGATAATTAGAGTTGTCTCAAATTGCCACCAGTTTCCTGATTTGTGAATTCAGTAAATATTCCCTTAGAGATAATAGTGGTTAATTTGTAACAAAGAGAGTGCCCCCACCCTCCATTGTTTCCAAAGGCAGGCAGATGAAACAACAACAGCCCAGCAGTTTCTCCCAGAGAATCTCTGCAGTAGAAACTAAGTGAGGTGCATTGTGAGGGGGGGCATGCTTGCAAGGCCAGCAGCAGAACCAGTGCCAATGTGGCTGTGACAAACCCAACAGGGCTAAGATCAAATCTGAGAATCTCTGAAGTATAGGGGGCATGGTCGCAAGGCTAGCAGCAGAACCAGTGCAATGTTCTAGTGCTAGTGCCCAGCAGCTGAACCCAGTGCCAGCCTACCTATCAGCAGAACCCAGTGCTAACCTGCTAGCTGAACCCAGTGCCATTGTGGTAAATGCCAGCTCAACAGGAGGGCTGATGTCAACTTAAGTATAGAATCATCACAACAACAATACGCAGAAGAATTTTAAAAGAAAGAAACTTCTGTGACTGATCAAAGAGCTGTGTGCCCCCCCCACCTGTAATCCTATTACCTAGTGCTCCTTCCCCCCTCCTGTCCCTGGGAAAGTAAGCTGGTAGTTGGGCTTCAAGTTTGAAGCCAGCAGCAACAGCAGCCTTGCAAGCTGCAATGCCAGTTGCAAATGCATTGTAGTGATTGGCTGTATGTAAGGTCTCTCTTCCCCCTCCCTTCTGAAAAGCAGAGCAAAGGGCAGGA